AATAATATTAATTCTGATTCCAAATTTTATTAATATATATTCTCTTTTAGATATCAACTTTTAATATTATCTCTTCTTGATATTATTATCAATATAAATTCAAGTTTCTATATATATAATATATCCTTTCAAAAATTAACTTTCATATGATAATTTTTTATTATTTCAAAAATTACTTTATTTTTTCATTTTAATAAATAATACTTGCCTTATTATCTTAATTACTCTTATGATACTATTAAAAATTCTTTTGATAATTTTACATAGTTTTTATTCATATATTAATTTTTATATAGTAATACAGTTTTTACATCTTTTTTTTTCTCTCTTTACTAATACTATAAATTTCTATTTTTTTTACTTTAATAAAACTGGTAAGCTACAAGAATATCCTAGCATTTATATTTCTATCTTTTCTATGTAATATAAATCTGTCTTTAATTTATCTTTAATAATATAATCATACTTTTTTTTCATATTCTTATAGTACTCACTATCTTAAGTAAATGTAAATTATATTTTTCTTCTCTAATTATTATTGTTAATTAGTATTTCCAATAATATAAATTCATATATATCATATCTATCATATTACTACCTTTTCAGTAATATTGGATATGAGAAGATACAACTGGTAAAATCTTATTCTGCATTGAGAATTTCTAAATTAAGTTGGGACGAGATCGAGAAAAGTTTGAATAGAGATAATCGTCATTTACTGCGCCAAGACACGTGACTTCGCTGACCGACTCGGTCAAGAAATTCATAAATTATTTCGTAATGCATGTATTGTTTATTTATAGGCAGTGCCCAGTGTCTTTAACACATAAAAATTATAGTCGCTTTGTACTGCGAATCAATAAATTTTCCAATGTATTTTTTTAGTTATACTAAAGGCTTTGCTATTTCGTAATCTGCATGCATATGACATAGAGCCCCAAGGGAGCAACCCATGTGATCGCGAGAAAATGGTTTTATTATGTATATATATATCAGTTTTACTAATTATTTATCGCAATAGTGAATTCCCATATTTCATGAATCCGTGCATGTGATACATTATATTTTTTAGCTAGAATCGGTAATGCATTTGTTGTATCCTTAGCAGTAATTATATCGCTAATTGCTTTAGGTGATAAGCGTGTAGCACCTGATCTTAATCTTCTAAACATTTTAAGTGTCGCAAACACTAGCTCCGCTATATACGCAAAAAATAAGTTAATTTATTGTTTTATATATATGGTTGACAATAATAAATTTTTCAGAAAAAATATGCGCTGATTAGATGATCCGATTTTTCATCTTTGCCTCTCGGAGAAAAGATATATATGTTATCTGACTTTTCTGGCTTCGAGTAAGCTTGACCACGAGAAGGTGGGATCATCACTTAACTCTAGTAAAGTTTTTTTTTCGACTTGTCACGGTTTTGTGAATCCGATCGTTGGCTGAGATTTATGCATGTGATCGCGGGAAAATGATTTATGGTTGTTATATATGCATTGTCGAAGTCAACTTATGCTTTTATACTAACTATATGGATTGAATTCTGATATTTATTTGTATAGCAATAAAGATGATAAGCTTTTTCACCGCAATATTCACCACTACCCCAAATACCCTCTATATGATTTCTTATATTTTCTTTTTTATGGTTTTTATTACATAAAGGGCAGGGTACTGATCTATTAAATTCAAAGTAATCATTTCTAAAGCTATGTTTCATAGTTAAATCGGGAAATCGATCTAGTACCATTTCAATAACGTGTTGTCGTCTTTCTTCCGGGTCTTTAGGTAGAACAGAAATTGGGAATTGTCGTTTACCCGCGGTATAAATAAAGTTTTCTCCTCAAAAGATTCAGAGGGTTTGGAATCCATCCAAGGATCGAGACCAGTTTCATTTTTATATCTTTTATATAATTTGGAACGAATTTTATCTGTTAAAACATCAATTAATTCAGCTTGCCATTCCAGAAATGCGGGGGTTAATATTTTATTAGACTTAGTTTGTGTATTCATGTTGTCGTTTTATATGATTACGAAGCAATTTAATTCCCCGCATTGGGTATCACAAAAAAATATCTTATAACCTAACTATTTTCAGGCTTCGAGTGACATGGTCGGGAGATGGCGGATCTATTGCAGAACAATGGCTCTTCGAGTCTACACAATTATTTCAGCATAAGCTGGTATAATAATGTCGATTCCAGATGCTTCACATTTAATATAGTAAGATCCATCTTTATATTCTCCATTTATACCATTCTCTTCCTCATGATTTAACTTACATATTGGACATGGCGATTCAGCATTAACCCCATAATAATCAATATTTTTTTTGCTCCTATATTCATAATATAAGTCGGGATATTGCTCCAATGTTTTGTTGCGGAAATTAGCATGGGCGTGAACTGGAATGGATGAAGATACAGATGATGCACTTACCTCAGTCTTAACTTCCTCATTTATCATATTTTCTGAATTAGAGGTATGAGGCACTTTAGTAGTTGATATATCATTTAAGTTAGATAGTTCGGTCACTTGCGCGTTACAATTTGTAACGCCGATCATTTCTTGATATTTAATGGAAGAATCATCTACATTAGAATTTTTAGGAAAACAATTTATAATATCTTGAATCGTTGTCAGTTAAACTCGAAATTGCACTTGCACTACATGTTATTGCTTGGATTTTTTCTATTCCTATTCCCATAAGTAACGTATAAATTTTTTTCGCTCTGAATGTTCTTTGACGCAAATTTACATCACTGATATTTGGGAGAAGTGTTTTTATCTCATTATATACCAATGTTCTTGCTGATTGGTCATCAATTTTATTTACACGTTTAATGTCTTCAGTTCGATCCTCATATGCTTTATAGTAACAATACCAGCATAAAATCTCTTTTTGTCTAACTTTCATTGCTATAACAAATAAATCGGCTATATTTTGTGCTGTAATTTTGTTGGATCCTGTTATAATTACTTCTAGCGAGAATTCAGGAATTTGTATATCAAATACTTCACTAACTTTATTATTATTCTCTTTAATGAACACAGATAAGTCGTGCCTTAAGTCTTGCTCAACTCTTTTATTATATGGAATTTTGATTCCGATATTTTGTGCTTGATCAGTAGACATTGATTCTGATTTGGTGGTTTTATGCTCATGGGTAATTTCGATAATAGGATTTATTTCAGTAGAAATTGCATTTTTTGTATCAGAAGAGGAAGATGTTTTTTGCACCATTTGTTGCCCTCGGCAAATCTTCTTTTCCCTATTTCTTTCTCTTGCCATATTACTAACCCTTTCTTTTTCCTGTAATTCCAAAAATTCATTAATTTCTTTTTCTTCCGATGATATATGAATGAGAGATGTGAAAGATCGGCTATCCTTTTCCTGGTATATATCAGAAGAACCGGATGTTAGATGCTTCACATCATTGGGTGTATTATTGGAACTATTTTCTATTCGTTCAGGAGCAACATTTGAAGTATTATCTGATATATTAGATGCCGGAGTATCGTTAGAATTTTTCATTTTGATAGAGATGGTATTAACTGAAGATTGATCGATTCCCTTGGCATCATCATCCAATTTAACAATAAAGTTGTTCTTTTCATTGGTTTGCGATTGCTTCTGTTCTAATTTCGCAACTCTAGCTTTAAGCTCAGCATTTTCAACAGCAGTATCTTTATCATTCTGTTCCAGTTTCATAAATCTGGATTCATGTTCTTCCAAAGCTTGTTTTAATTTTACGTTCTCAGCTTTAAGTTCGATGTTCTCGGCCTCAACTTCGGAAAATTTTTTTCTAAGTTCAGGAATTTCGGCATTCTCTTTTCTAAGTTCGGTAATCTCGGATGCAAGCCTAGAGTTTAATTCTCTCAAGGTATTTATTGTTAATTGATCGTTCGACATTGTTTTATTACAAAATAGGATATATTCAAAAGGTTAACCACACAAAAAAGTATTTTTAAAAATCGCTTTGCTTTATTGATTGTAATAAAATCAAAAAATAATCAAATCTATCTATTATTTATATACTATTTGCCAACACTATAAGTTTTCGTATCTCAATATTAACTATACCTCTGGTTTCATTTGTTATCGATTCTGAATAAAATAGAAATGCTATAAGTTGTACGAAGTATGCAATCCCCAATGTGTATCAGTTGTCCGTTATCTGGACTTATCTTTTTTCGAACTCTAGAGAAGAAGGTTGAAAGTTTATATTGTCTGCCTTTAGCAGTGTTAATAAATTTCTCGGAAATCTATACGAAAGAGTGGTCATAAGTTTGCAAGTCCAGAGGTTGATTTATTGAGATGTACTGGCAACCGAAATATTCATACCTTAATTGCATGTTCAGAATTTTCGCCAAAAATGAAAATATTTCTTAATGATATAGGTAGATGGATAGATGATACGAGAAACTGCACATAAAAGGGCCTAGAATCCTGGCAGGCCTTATAAGGAAATTATGTAATATACCATAAAATAATAAAGCAAGATCAATAAAAGTTCACACGAATCCTAGATTTTAAAAATTAAAGTTTCCATGTGCATTCTGTTAATGGGGTATGAGAATTATTATATTAAGCCATAACGTTTCTTGTAAGTCCATTGCTTGGAATGTTCCCGTGTAAGACCTGCAAGCCCACCGCTAATTAACCACTCTGAATCCTTTAACAGATGCATAGATCCAACGGATCCAGGAGATGTTACGTGGCAATTGCGATAAACAGGTGTGGGAAGACGTTCCCCTCTGCCGAGCTGTCAAAACCCACCGCTAATTAACCACTCTGAATCCTTTAACAGATACATAGATCCAACAGACCCAGGAGATGTTGCGTGGCAATTGCGGTTAACAGATTAGAGGTGCAATGGAATGGGTGCATGTGTGCAATGTTTCACTATAGCTATATAGTGGTACAAACCGCGTGACATCACTTATAATTTGACATGCTTGACACGCGTATTATCAAAAAATTTCATTTTTCGAACATGTCAGATCCAGTAGTCGATTTTAACTTCAGAGCATATCGCTTTAAACGCAAGAAATACAGTTTTTTCGCGGACACAGAGGCCAGACATTGGTCATTTAATCGTTTCTACTCTTTTGCTATTCAATCTGGAGACGCGCCAAAAACATTTAATGAAATTTTTGATAAGTGGACCGCCAGCCTGAAATTTATTGAAAGGCAAAAAAATGTCCCAAAATCAATCGTGAACTTTGTAGGAAATCTAATTGAATTCAATGAGTCTAAGGAATTTGGGTGCTTGCAGGATGCTTGCGAGCAGAATTTCCGTGCTCACGTCCTTGCAACACTTTCAAGCGGGTCAGTGACGAAGAGCGAAATGGCACAAGGTTACATGATACAAGCAAATGAAATCTTAACCGGTGCAGTAGGAAGGAAGGACAAAAAAGATGAGGAGATTGAGAAAGACAATGAAGACGAATCACAAATACTGGTATGATTAATCTTAATATGGTATGATCAATAAATAGAATTGTCAATAATTAATAATTAAAATGTAACAAATGCAGCAAAAAAGAATCATACATTAAATGAGTTTGTATTAAGTAAATATATTTTAAATAAAAATTTAAATATATTTGTATTTTTTAATAATAATTTATATTTAAATAAAATTCAAGCTTATATTTATATATATAGTCAGATTTCTTTATAATTATTTTTTTTATAGTCACCTTTTTTTGAGTTTTTCAGTTACTAATTAGCTATAATTAAAAAAATCTCTCTATAATCACATTTCTTTTTGGTCATCTAATTTTACTTTTCCAAGTATGATAATTATAGAAAGATCTGATTATATATCTTAATTTTATATATCTAGAGCATATCAGACATTTGTATGATTGGTCAATTCCAATTTCATATGAACTTTGATATGATTGGCTGATCAAGATATATTTATTTCATAAATATTTCAAGTGCTAATTTGAAGTCATTTGCAGTTTTTAAATTAAATAGTGATTGCTTTGATAAGTTTTTAACTCTATTATCATTATCTGTTAATTAAATCTCATTTTCTTGACTGAGATCAATCTCAGAATCATCTTTATCCATACTCGTATCTGTGATTCTGCTAATAATAGATTTTATATTATAATTAATTTCATTTTTAATATAATTTAAACAATAAAAATATTTATATTCAAGATATTACAAGTAATGTTGATGATAAATATGACCACATAGAAGTGAAATAGACTGATCAGAAGTTAATTGCAACATTTTACAAGAATTCCAAAGATGATATTTTTCTGATGAATCAAATAAAGGATATTCTGAACTGAATGCTATTGGTAAATGCTATTGATTTATATCTATATTAAGAGTTACAAGATGGTATAAAACTTTATTTTTGTCACATTTTATCTATTCACTTTTCTCAATATTATTTTTAATATCAGCAAATAGTTCTAGAAGAAAGATAGATGCTTTGTTAGTTAAATCTATTAGATCTTCTTTACAATAAGGATATCTTGTTGATGAAATGAATGTACTCCAAAATATATTATCATGACAAAAGCAATTGATAATGTGAGCTATTCTTGAAAGTTATTTGGATGTATCTATTTCTCTTGTTTATTGGCAAATTAGCAAATGATAATTTTTCACTGGATAATCACTAAATGCCACAAGATGCTTTTCTAAAATCTTGAGAATAAGATGGTTAATACTTTTTTAATACCAAATATCTGAAAGAAAAAATAGTGGTACTTTATTATAATTTCTCTATTTAAATCAAGTAAACAAATATCAGGAAATTTTTTGGAGAGATATTCATCGAGAATCATCATCATATCTATAAAAATCAATAAATATTTCTCTGAGATATCAATATTAATTGATGTCTCTGATGATCTTTAATAAACATCCATATCGATAATAATTAATCATTATTAGTACATTATTTATCAATATATAATAATATATCAATCATTATTACAATATATTATTTATCAATAACAAACGATATATGTTAACAGTTAACTTAAATACTTATTTTAAAACCAGTTTATCACATTAATATTGGTTTAGCTTATATAACCTAAATGAACACGCATACACTCACACATTCAATTATTTTCAAGACTTAAAACTTCTAAAATACTTTTTATTTAATATTAAAAAATAT